TAGCTTTTCTAAATAGTTCCTAACTTGTTCTTTCCCCACCAAGGGCTGTCCACCTCTTTCCCATAATGCATTGCCTTGTGCATTAGTCTGGGAGCTGATCTTGTCTGTGAAGACAGAGGCAATGAAAGCACTGAGTACTTCAGCTTTTCCCACATCATCTGTCACTAGGTTACCTCCCTCATCCAATAAGGGCCCCACAACCTCTCTGATCACCTTCTTCTTGCTAATATTCCTGTAGAAATCTTTCTTGTTATCCTTCACATCCCTTGCAATTCCAATTACGCTTTCGCCTTCCTGATAACTCCCCTGCATTCTCGAGCCATATATTTATACTCCTTCCTAATCATCCATCCAAGTTTCCACTTTTTGTAAGCTTCCTTTTTGTGTTTAAACTCACCAAGGATGTCCCTGATAAGCCAAACTTGTCGCCTACCATATTTGCTTTTCTTGCTGTGCATTGGGATGGTTTCTTCCTGTGTCTTTAATAAGGCTTCTTTAAAATACTGCCAGCTCTCCTGGACTCCTTTTCCCTCCATGTTAGCATCCCAGGGAATCCTGCCTATCAGTTCTCTGAGGGAGTCAAAGCCTGTTTTTCTGAAGTCTAGAGTGTGTATTTTGCCACTCTCCCTTCTTCCTTTGGTCAGGATCCTTAAATCTACCATCTCATAGTCACTGCTTCTCAGGTTCTTACCCACCGCTACTTCTCCTACTAGTTCCTCCCTGTTTGTGAGCAATAGGTCAAGCTGTGCATGGCCCCATGTCAGTTCCTTCAGCACTTGTACCAAGAAGTTATCCCCAACATTCTCCAAAAACTTCCTGGATTGTCTGTGTACTGCCATATTGGTCTCCCAACAGATGTCAGGGTGATTAAAGTCTCCCATGAGAACCAGAGCCTGTGATCTGCAAGCTTCTCTCAGTTGTCCAAAGAAAGCCTCATCTACATGATCCGGTGGTCTTTAGCAGACACCAGCCACAACATCACCCCTGTTGGTTCCTCCTGTAAACTTAACCCATAGTCTCTCAACAGTCTTTTCTCCCTCTAAATACTGGTGCTCCAAGCAATCATACTGCTTTCTTACATACAATGCAACTCCTCCTTTTCTCCCCTGCCTGTTCTTCCTGAACAGTTTTTACCCTTCCATGACAGTGCTGCAGTCATGCGAGTCATCCCACCAAGTCTCCATTATTCCAATCAAATCATAGTTCTTTGACTGGGTTCTTCCTGTTTGTTTCCCAGGCTTCTTACATTTGTGTACAAACACCTTAGATAGCCTTTGATTGCCTTTTCCATTTGAGTCAGGGGTCCTCCTTTGTTGCTCGTTCCTCCTTGTGTTTCTTCCCCTTCCTCATTTACCTCAGGGCTTTGGTCACCATCCCCCAACGAACCTAGTTGAAAGCCCTCCTCACTAGGTTTGGAAGCCTGCCTACAAAGATGCTCTTTCCTCTCTTGGTTAGGTGGATCCCATCTCTTCCTAACAATCCTTGTGCCCAGAACAGAGTCCCATGGTCGAAGAAACCAAAGCCTTCTCTCTGACACCATCTGCGCAACCACGCATTTACTTCCTCAATTCGATGATCCTTACCCGGACCTTTTCCTTCAACCGGAAGGATGGACGAGAACACCACTTGCGCTTCAAATTCCTTGATCCTTTTTCCCAGAGCTACATAATCTGCTGTGACCTGCTCACGGTCATTCTTGGCCATATCTTTAGTTCCTACATGGAGAAGCAGGAAGGGGTAGTGATCTGAAGGTTTAATCACTTTTGGAAGACTTTCGGTCATATCCTGAATGTGAGGTCTTGGTAAGCAGCACACTTCTCGAGATTGCAGGTCTGGATGGCAGATGGATGACTCAGTCTCTCTTAGGAGGGAGTCCCTGACCACCCCTTCTTTTGGGGGTGGTGGTCATGGAACCCCCATCTCTAGGACTTCGCATCCATGCCTTCTGATAGATAGTGTTCCCTTCTGATTTCTTCCCTGAGAGGTCCATGCCACAGCATTCTACACTGCAGTGCCTGTGGAGAGAGCCTGAAAGTGGTTACTTACCTCTACAGGAATGGGGGAGTCCTGAGTTGACTTTCTTCTTCTTCTAGAGGTTACATGCTGCCAATTTTCTTCCTTGTCCTGTACTGCCCTGACTGGCTCTTTAGTCTGCTGTGCCTGCAGGAGTAAATGCTGGCTTCTTATCGAGGAAGTCTTCATCCTCTCTGATGGAACATAGGGTCAATACTTGGGCCTCAAGTCCTCTAATTTTTTCTTCCAAAATGGCGACTAGCTTGCACTTAGAACAGATGAAATCCCTTCTTTCTTTCGGGAGGAAGACAAACATGGCACATGCTGTGTAGGTAACAACAGCAGACCTATCACTATCCATACCTGCCTGCCTTCTGAGAGATTCCTCAGATGTTATTCAATGCCTCCTTGAAGGGCAGGAATGTAGCAAAAAGATTTTAAAGAATGGCGAGTGTATCTTGCCTCCTTCCCACTCCCCTTCCTAACTCCCTCTCCAAACTCCCTGTTAGCTGTCCCTGGTCACTGACTCCCTCCTTTATAAAGCCCTGGACTGCCTGATAGCCCCTCCCTCTGATTAAAGCTCAACCAATGAGCAGAGGCTTCTAGATTTCAAACCCTAATTAGAATCTCGCAGCTTCCATCTGCAAGCCACAGCACACACTCCATGCGGGGAGCTGGGGAAGGGGAACCCACCCTCCTCCCAAACAGCCAAACACAAGCTCAGCAAACAGCAAGAAATCCCCAAACAGAAACACACACTACAGACAGCCACTTCCCTTAAGGGTTCTGCATTAGCTTCCTCTTTCACCAGGAGAACTCCCTCTTCAAACTCTGACTTTAATATTTTATAATCACAATAAGGAGTTTAGATTCTAATTTTATGCCTCATCAGTAGGGCCATATCAAATTCATGGTTCATTTTGGCCAATTTCACGGTAATAAAACGTTAAAAACCGTAAATTTGGTGATTTCAGCTATTTAAATCTGAAATGTCATGGTGGTGTAATTGTAGGCATCCTGACCCAAAAAGGAATTGAGGAGTTACAATGTGATTGTAGGGAGTGTTGCAGGATTGCTATGTTACTCCTGTGCTTCTGGTAGCAACATCACTGCGTTCAGAGTTGGGCAGCTGCACAGCAGTGGTGGCTGGACGAGAGCCCAGGCTCCAAAGGCAGAGCTGGCATCAACTGCAGCACTAAGTAAGGATGGTTTGGTACGGTATTGCCACCTTTCCTTTTGTGCTGTTGTTAGCAGCAGCTCTTCAGACCTGGCCTCCTGGCCAGCAGCTGCCAGTTTACATCCAGCATTGAAGGCAGTGCAGAAGTAAGGTTGGCAATACTGAGACCCCTATGAAATAGGCCCCCAGCAACTTTCTTTTCGGTCAGGACTCTTCATTTGAGAAGTGTGCTAAATCAAACTAACATGAGATGCTGCAAATTACTAAATGCTGTAAATTAGCAAATGGATGAGTAAACACAGTACGATAAGATGACAAAATACAGGGTTAAGGCATCACCAGGTGTACTTTGCTCTGTTACTTGACATGTAGTTTAGGTTTAATTGCTTAGGATCTAACTGGACCAGTTAATGTTAGCTAGCAAATTTTATGAATTCTTAATGGAATGCTGTCAGCTGTCAAGTCCCCTCTTCTGATGGGGGTCTGAATTAGGACATGTGCTTATAAGCACTGTGTGTCTTCATAAGAAAGTACTATGAGTATATCCCAACAGTCTCTGAAACTTTACAATTATTTCCATTTTAGCTGAGTGAATGTATTACATTGTTCTTTGGCTCATTCATCACACAGTCATTAAATTTTAGTTAAGCAGCTAATGAGTATCTTCATGCTGTTTAATCCTTTCTTCCTCTTTAATATGGCTGTTTAACCCCTCTAGGTCTCTTAGAGGATGGTTGCTCTGTTGGCATGAGTGTTGGTTTTGATTTACTCCATTTCATGTGCTTGTGAGCATGCTTAGGGTGGCAGTTCTTTCCAAGTGAGACCTCAACTTTTGACATAAAAAGAGGCCAGTCCAACACCTACTGTAGTCAAAGTGATTTTTTTCCATTGTCTTTGCTGGGAGTTGGATCAGGTCCATGAGTAGATTAACTAAATCCTCAGAAGTCTCAGAGGGGGAGCCCTGTAAGTCTGTGTTTGCAAAAACCACAAGAAGTCTCCTGGCATCTTAAAGACTAATCAATTTCTTTGAGCATTTGCTTTCGTGGATAAAAACTACTTCATCAGAAGCATCTGCTGAAATGTGTTTTACCCACGAAAGCTGATGCCCAAAGAAATCTGTCAGTCTTTAAGATGCCACAGGATTCCATGTTGTTTTTGTAAATCCTCACAGTAGATTTTTCTCTCTTCTTTGTAGCTAGGGGCAGAGCTATAGCTATAGTTATTTCCGGGGCTAAGTCTGGTTCCTTATAAACAATTTCCCAATTCTTCTGTTTTCAGAGGCAACAACTGGTCATCTCCAAGCTCTTCTAGGGAAGAGTAAAGAATTTTGCTAATTACTCTATAGGAGGGTGACCTGATGTCCCGATTTTACAGGGACAGTCCCAATATTTGGGACCACTTCTTACATAGGCATCTGTTATTCTCCACCCTCATCCCGAATTTTCACATTTTTGCTATCTGGTCACCCTACTTTACAGGGTCTTCAATATCATTCTTTTGGGACAAATTTAGTTCATTTTGTAAACCCACCTCAATTTTTGACACTAAGGATGTAATATATCTTTTGTTGCAAGCTATCATAACCCCCCATAACAATAGTATCTAAGCCAATCACAGTCAGTAGCACATTATCCCCACAACTTCCCTATAAATGAATAGGAATAGCTGAAGCTCAGAGAACCCAAGGTCACATAGGAAACCTGTGATAGAGCAGGGAATTGAATCTGGGTCAGCTTGAGTCCTAGCCTAACACCCTACCCAGTGGACCATTTTTTTCTCTTATTTTCTAACTCTTGCTCTATTTGTTCAGCTAGGATTGTGCATTAGCAGAGCTTCAGCATCTGTCCTCAATGTCAACTGCAGCCTGATCCTCTTACCGATGTGCCGTATTCTCCTGGCCTTCCTCCGAGGATCTCAGAAGGTAAAACAACATTTAGAACACAACAAGTTAACAAGGGCCATGCATGCAGACGGATTCCTAAGTAATATTAGAAAAGTGACAGTACGCACATATTTTGTTACTGTTCATTCGCTTGGCCTTATATAATGCTGTATAGAACCATTGTGTGTGTGTGGATCCAGTTCTAGATCTCTTTGAAGCCAAGGAAAGTATTCAGATTGCTCAGCAGCTGGTGTATCCTTTGACTATCAGCACTATTCCCACCGACCTTAAAACCGAGCAGCTCCACCCCAAGCCACATAGTGAGGAAATATAGTGCACCAAGAGTAGAGAAGTGGACAATATCTCCCTTGTTCCGTAGCTCTACGCTGCCTCCAGTGCAAGCGATTGGCTATAACTTGAATCCCAAATTAATAACAGATTTGGCATCCTGGAAAGAGAAATCTGACAAACTGAAGAAGGGTTGGTGTCTCTGAATATCTAGTAATTTCCAATGGTTGTGACTCATTTGCAACCCTATGACAAAAATCTAAGTAACACTATTCAGGTAGTGCAGATATACTGGATGCCTGGGCCACTTTTTTGAATGGTTGCAAATTGAAGATACCTGTTGTTTTTGTCCTGTGTCCTCTGTCTCCTGCCTGCCTGATATGAGGTGAGCAATAGACAATGTAAACAAATAACCTGTCCTGTGCTATTGATTGTTTATTCTAAAAAAAGTTCATTCACTTTTAGTGTAAGGACTTATAGATCATAGGGCAGAAGGAGCCGTTATGCTGGTTGAGTCTGATCTCTTGAATCACACACAGAAAAGAACATCTTCCGGTAATTTCTGTATCAAGCCCATGGAGTTATCTGTTATCCCTAATCTAGTTCCTGTTAAAAAATGTGGGTGTTAAGATAAAATAGCATTAAGCCTCATATATAAATCCCCTCAAATTCACAGACTGTCTTGGTCAATTTCACAGTCATGGGATTGTAAAAATAATACATTTCATAATTTCAGCTATTTAAACGATAAGTTTCATAGTTTTGCAATAGATGGGGTCCTGACTCAAAACAGGGAGTTATAGGGGGAGGTGTCACAAGGTTATTGTAGAGGGGGTTGCACTACTGCTGCCCTTATTTCTGCGCTGTTGCTGGCAGTGGTGCTGCTTTCAGAGCTGGGCATCTGGAGAGCGGTGGCTTCTGGCCAGAAGTCCAGCTTTGAAGGCAGTGCCGCTGTCAACAGCAATGCAGAAGTAAGGCTGGCATGTTATGGTATTGCTACCCTTACTTCTGCACTGCTGCCTGTAGAGCTGGGCCTTCAGTGAGCAGCTGCTACTCTCCGGCCGCCCAGCTCTGAAGGCATCAGCACTTAAGTAAGGGTGTCATGTTATGGTCTCGCCCCCCTTACTTTTGTGCTGCTGCTGTTGGGGTGCTGCCTTCACCCCACCCTCTGAAAGCATCCACCAACCTCTGAAAGAAGTAGGAGTGGCAGTACTGCAACTAAGGATGTAAGTGACTAGTCGAGTGACTACTCGATGAATCGCTTCCCCCCCCCCATCTGCTGCCTCAGTATCAGAGGCAGCAAGGGGAGGAAAGCAGGAGCCAGTGCTGGGGTCTCTGCAGCGTAGGGGGGTGGGGCAAGAGAGGCAGAGCCGCAGCGATCCTGGAGCTGGTGCAAATCCCGGCTCGCGCCAACCCTAGGAGCTAACCCGCTGTGGCTATGCACTTTAAATGTAGTAAGAGCCTGGTGGATCTTACTATATTTAAAATGCAGAGTCACAGTGGCAGTAGCGAGTGCCTCCCCTTATCGACTAATTGAATAGTCGATGGAAATTGCATTGACTACTTGATTAGCTAATTAACATCCCTAACTGCAACCCCTTCTAAAATAACGTTGTGATCCCCTCTGAAGCTCTATTTTGGGTCGGGATCCTGAATTTAAGAAACACTTGTTTTCCTGTAAAATCAATATAGTGCAGGGTGCAAAAGCACACTAAAGACCAGATTTCTCAGAGACCAGATTTTGTGGTCCATAATATGATTTTCATGGCTGTAAGTTTGGTAGGGGCCTTCTCATATAAAAGTTGATTTTACAAAGAAATCATGTCTAGAACATCAATTACTTTGTATTTTATTTTCCATTGCTTCATTTTAGAAGAGATTGCTTGAATTCTTCTTTTACTAGGTTGCCAGCAGGAAAACAAGAAGACTGTTGGATAAAAGTAAAACTTTCCATGTAACATGTGGTGTTACTATATGTGTCTTTTCAGGTAAGATTTTATTGTGCTGAGCACTAGCTCATGTGGGAAGCATATTAAACAATACAAGTCACTTGTGGCTTTTCTTGAACAATATAGGGTATTTTTTCTCTGTTTTATGTGTAGACATCTAAGTGTTTTCTCAGACATTTTGAAGCCTGGTATCTAAATCTGGGTGGAAAGATTTTTCTTAAAAGTTATAGGCTCTGAAGCATCAGTAGTTTTTCATGTATAAAATTAAATTAAAAGCTGCCTCCTAACTGATTACAGACCACATGTAATCAATTTATGGAGGTTAGAGATTAAAAGACCCTTTGTGAACATGTGGACAATATAAATAAGTATCATATAATATTTCCACTTCCAGTAAAGTACTAACTTAGTTTTGACAAAGTCCTTTGATTCAGTCTCCCAATCAGAGAATTATAATGAGAAAATAAATCATAGAACTTCAAAGATTCAAAGCAAGTAGCATTTTCATATCAGCCTAACTTACTTAGTGCAAAAATAGCATATGGTTGCTTAGGACTGATTTTGTTTCCCCTAAAGTGAATGGGTGTTTTCCAGTCAACTTCAGCCAGAGCTGGATCAGATCCATAAAGAAAGTTTTTATATAAAATCTGCAGGTCAGTAAATTTAATGTTTCAAATGTGCAAAGGAAAGTGCTAAAACAGGTAGTTTATATATAAAGGCTAAGAGTAGGACAGACTAAATTATGATGGAATCAGCCTAGTAAATAATGTGGGACCCTGATCTACAAACTAACATATGTAAAAACAGGGATCCACCTAAACTTACGAGTGATCAGGATTAGGGGCTTCACATAACCTTCAAAATGCAGTGTAATGAATTGGGTTTTGTTCTGGTTGATAGGCTTACATGTTGCCGCACACCTGGTGAATGTCCTGAACTTCTCTATGAACTATACTGAAGAATTTTTGGCTCTGAATGCAGCAAGCTACCGTGGTGAGGTGGGCGATATGTTCTTTTATACTTTCCTTGAAATAGATATAACTGGTGTGATGCCTTTACATAGTTTTCCATGAGTGATATGTATAGTCATGCTTGTCTTATATACTGTGAAAATGCAGTATCATGTTGGTATTTTTTCTTTCTTTCGATGGCTAGGTCACCTGACTATGCCACTAACTTTCTGAGCACATTACTTCACTTATTTGTGTTGTAATAAAAGAAAAAGAAAAAAAAATGTAAGAAGGGAGGGAAAGGAAAGAAAGGAAAGGGAGAAGGGAAGCAGAAGAGAGAAACAGTTTGGTTTCTACCTGCCTGGAACTGAAGATTTCTAAAAGATCAGACCTTATCTTTTCCAATTTGCCTTGAGGTCTCTCTTCTCCAAAATATTACCTGCTCTTCAGCTGTCAGGAGAGCCAAGTTGCTGAACCAGTCTTCTGTCCTTCAAGGCAGGCTACTCTTCTGTGTATGTAACATGAATTGTTTGGACATGAGTTATTTGGCTACTCTAGAGAAGTAAGCTTTCCATGGAGGTGGAGAGTTTCCAGTATGATGGAATAATTATTAAGCAGATATCAGTTATCATGTTAATTCTCCTACTTATGTCTAACCAAAAGGATTGATAGCCCCCAAAGGGGGAGCCGATGTGGCTTTGGGAGACCCACATCTCCAACAGCAGTTTTCGCCACTGCCTTGCTGTGTTACCTTTGGCAAGTCACTTCTCTGTTCTATGGCTTGCATTCTCCACGCTTACTGCTATTGGGTATGCCTTGCTGAACCCTTTATGCTGCTATCATTGGCCCTGTCATCAAACCGTATACAATGGGACAGGCAGGAGAAGGGATGCTGCATTTGCAGCATTACACAGACAGTGTAATATGACAAATAGATTGAAAGATGAGAAGATTTGGGCCAGTCTTGCTCTCATTGAAATCAATGGCAAAACTTTTATTAGTTTGAGTTGGAACTGCATCTGATACTTTAGTTCCTACATGGAGAAGCAGGAAGGGGTAGTGATCTGAAGGTTTAATCACTTTTGGAAGACTTTCGGTCATATCCTGAATGTGAGGTCTTGGTAAGCAGCACACTTCTCGAGATTGCAGGTCTGGATGGCAGATGGATGACTCAGTCTCTCTTAGGAGGGAGTCCCTGACCACCCCTTCTTTTGGGGGTGGTGGTCATGGAACCCCCATCTCTAGGACTTCGCATCCATGCCTTCTGATAGATAGTGTTCCCTTCTGATTTCTTCCCTGAGAGGTCCATGCCACAGCATTCTACACTGCAGTGCCTGTGGAGAGAGCCTGAAAGTGGTTACTTACCTCTACAGGAATGGGGGAGTCCTGAGTTGACTTTCTTCTTCTTCTAGAGGTTACATGCTGCCAATTTTCTTCCTTGTCCTGTACTGCCCTGACTGGCTCTTTAGTCTGCTGTGCCTGCAGGAGTAAATGCTGGCTTCTTATCGAGGAAGTCTTCATCCTCTCTGATGGAACATAGGGTCAATACTTGGGCCTCAAGTCCTCTAATTTTTTCTTCCAAAATGGCGACTAGCTTGCACTTAGAACAGATGAAATCCCTTCTTTCTTTCGGGAGGAAGACAAACATGGCACATGCTGTGTAGGTAACAACAGCAGACCTATCACTATCCATACCTGCCTTCCTTCTGAGAGATGCCTCAGATGTTATTCAATGCCTCCTTGAAGGGCAGGAATGTAGCAAAAAGATTTTAAAGAATGGCGAGTGTATCTTGCCTCCTTCCCACTCCCCTTCCTAACTCCCTCTCCAAACTCCCTGTTAGCTGTCCCTGGTCACTGACTCCCTCCTTTATAAAGCCCTGGACTGCCTGATAGCCCCTCCCTCTGATTAAAGCTCAACCAATGAGCAGAGGCTTCTAGATTTCAAACCCTAATTAGAATCTCGCAGCTTCCATCTGCAAGCCACAGCACACACTCCATGTGGGGAGCTGGGGAAGGGGAACCCACCCTCCTCCCAAACAGCCAAACACAAGCTCAGCAAACAGCAAGAAATCCCCAAACAGAAACACACACTACAGACAGCCACTTCCCTTAAGGGTTCTGCATTAGCTTCCTCTTTCACCAGGAGAACTCCCTCTTCAAACTCTGACTTTAATATTTTATAATCACAATAAGGAGTTTAGATTCTAATTTTATGCCTCATCAGTAGGGCCATATCAAATTCATGGTTCATTTTGGCCAATTTCACGGTAATAAAACGTTAAAAACCGTAAATTTGGTGATTTCAGCTATTTAAATCTGAAATGTCATGGTGGTGTAATTGTAGGCATCCTGACCCAAAAAGGAATTGAGGAGTTACAATGTGATTGTAGGGAGTGTTGCAGGATTGCTATGTTACTCCTGTGCTTCTGGTAGCAACATCACTGCGTTCAGAGTTGGGCAGCTGCACAGCAGTGGTGGCTGGACGAGAGCCCAGGCTCCAAAGGCAGAGCTGGCATCAACTGCAGCACTAAGTAAGGATGGTTTGGTACGGTATTGCCACCTTTCCTTTTGTGCTGTTGTTAGCAGCAGCTCTTCAGACCTGGCCTCCTGGCCAGCAGCTGCCAGTTTACATCCAGCATTGAAGGCAGTGCAGAAGTAAGGTTGGCAATACTGAGACCCCTATGAAATAGGCCCCCAGCAACTTTCTTTTCGGTCAGGACTCTTCATTTGAGAAGTGTGCTAAATCAAACTAACATGAGATGCTGCAAATTACTAAATGCTGTAAATTAGCAAATGGATGAGTAAACACAGTACGATAAGATGACAAAATACAGGGTTAAGGCATCACCAGGTGTACTTTGCTCTGTTACTTGACATGTAGTTTAGGTTTAATTGCTTAGGATCTAACTGGACCAGTTAATGTTAGCTAGCAAATTTTATGAATTCTTAATGGAATGCTGTCAGCTGTCAAGTCCCCTCTTCTGATGGGGGTCTGAATTAGGACATGTGCTTATAAGCACTGTGTGTCTTCATAAGAAAGTACTATGAGTATATCCCAACAGTCTCTGAAACTTTACAATTATTTCCATTTTAGCTGAGTGAATGTATTACATTGTTCTTTGGCTCATTCATCACACAGTCATTAAATTTTAGTTAAGCAGCTAATGAGTATCTTCATGCTGTTTAATCCTTTCTTCCTCTTTAATATGGCTGTTTAACCCCTCTAGGTCTCTTAGAGGATGGTTGCTCTGTTGGCATGAGTGTTGGTTTTGATTTACTCCATTTCATGTGCTTGTGAGCATGCTTAGGGTGGCAGTTCTTTCCAAGTGAGACCTCAACTTTTGACATAAAAAGAGGCCAGTCCAACACCTACTGTAGTCAAAGTGATTTTTTTCCATTGTCTTTGCTGGGAGTTGGATCAGGTCCATGAGTAGATTAACTAAATCCTCAGAAGTCTCAGAGGGGGAGCCCTGTAAGTCTGTGTTTGCAAAAACCACAAGAAGTCTCCTGGCATCTTAAAGACTAATCAATTTCTTTGAGCATTTGCTTTCGTGGATAAAAACTACTTCATCAGAAGCATCTGCTGAAATGTGTTTTACCCACGAAAGCTGATGCCCAAAGAAATCTGTCAGTCTTTAAGATGCCACAGGATTCCATGTTGTTTTTGTAAATCCTCACAGTAGATTTTTCTCTCTTCTTTGTAGCTAGGGGCAGAGCTATAGCTATAGTTATTTCCGGGGCTAAGTCTGGTTCCTTATAAACAATTTCCCAATTCTTCTGTTTTCAGAGGCAACAACTGGTCATCTCCAAGCTCTTCTAGGGAAGAGTAAAGAATTTTGCTAATTACTCTATAGGAGGGTGACCTGATGTCCCGATTTTACAGGGACAGTCCCAATATTTGGGACCACTTCTTACATAGGCATCTGTTATTCTCCACCCTCATCCCGAATTTTCACATTTTTGCTATCTGGTCACCCTACTTTACAGGGTCTTCAATATCATTCTTTTGGGACAAATTTAGTTCATTTTGTAAACCCACCTCAATTTTTGACACTAAGGATGTAATATATCTTTTGTTGCAAGCTATCATAACCCCCCATAACAATAGTATCTAAGCCAATCACAGTCAGTAGCACATTATCCCCACAACTTCCCTATAAATGAATAGGAATAGCTGAAGCTCAGAGAACCCAAGGTCACATAGGAAACCTGTGATAGAGCAGGGAATTGAATCTGGGTCAGCTTGAGTCCTAGCCTAACACCCTACCCAGTGGACCATTTTTTTCTCTTATTTTCTAACTCTTGCTCTATTTGTTCAGCTAGGATTGTGCATTAGCAGAGCTTCAGCATCTGTCCTCAATGTCAACTGCAGCCTGATCCTCTTACCGATGTGCCGTATTCTCCTGGCCTTCCTCCGAGGATCTCAGAAGGTAAAACAACATTTAGAACACAACAAGTTAACAAGGGCCATGCATGCAGACGGATTCCTAAGTAATATTAGAAAAGTGACAGTACGCACATATTTTGTTACTGTTCATTCGCTTGGCCTTATATAATGCTGTATAGAACCATTGTGTGTGTGTGGATCCAGTTCTAGATCTCTTTGAAGCCAAGGAAAGTATTCAGATTGCTCAGCAGCTGGTGTATCCTTTGACTATCAGCACTATTCCCACCGACCTTAAAACCGAGCAGCTCCACCCCAAGCCACATAGTGAGGAAATATAGTGCACCAAGAGTAGAGAAGTGGACAATATCTCCCTTGTTCCGTAGCTCTACGCTGCCTCCAGTGCAAGCGATTGGCTATAACTTGAATCCCAAATTAATAACAGATTTGGCATCCTGGAAAGAGAAATCTGACAAACTGAAGAAGGGTTGGTGTCTCTGAATATCTAGTAATTTCCAATGGTTGTGACTCATTTGCAACCCTATGACAAAAATCTAAGTAACACTATTCAGGTAGTGCAGATATACTGGATGCCTGGGCCACTTTTTTGAATGGTTGCAAATTGAAGATACCTGTTGTTTTTGTCCTGTGTCCTCTGTCTCCTGCCTGCCTGATATGAGGTGAGCAATAGACAATGTAAACAAATAACCTGTCCTGTGCTATTGATTGTTTATTCTAAAAAAAGTTCATTCACTTTTAGTGTAAGGACTTATAGATCATAGGGCAGAAGGAGCCGTTATGCTGGTTGAGTCTGATCTCTTGAATCACACACAGAAAAGAACATCTTCCGGTAATTTCTGTATCAAGCCCATGGAGTTATCTGTTATCCCTAATCTAGTTCCTGTTAAAAAATGTGGGTGTTAAGATAAAATAGCATTAAGCCTCATATATAAATCCCCTCAAATTCACAGACTGTCTTGGTCAATTTCACAGTCATGGGATTGTAAAAATAATACATTTCATAATTTCAGCTATTTAAACGATAAGTTTCATAGTTTTGCAATAGATGGGGTCCTGACTCAAAACAGGGAGTTATAGGGGGAGGTGTCACAAGGTTATTGTAGAGGGGGTTGCACTACTGCTGCCCTTATTTCTGCGCTGTTGCTGGCAGTGGTGCTGCTTTCAGAGCTGGGCATCTGGAGAGCGGTGGCTTCTGGCCAGAAGTCCAGCTTTGAAGGCAGTGCCGCTGTCAACAGCAATGCAGAAGTAAGGCTGGCATGTTATGGTATTGCTACCCTTACTTCTGCACTGCTGCCTGTAGAGCTGGGCCTTCAGTGAGCAGCTGCTACTCTCCGGCCGCCCAGCTCTGAAGGCATCAGCACTTAAGTAAGGGTGTCATGTTATGGTCTCGCCCCCCTTACTTTTGTGCTGCTGCTGTTGGGGTGCTGCCTTCACTGCTGGGTGCCTGGCCAACAGCTGCCATTCTCCATCCACCAACCTCTGAAAGCATCCACCAACCTCTGAAAGAAGTAGGAGTGGCAGTACTGCAACTAAGGATGTAAGTGACTAGCCCATGCCTCCCTTCCCCCCCCCCATCTGCTGCCTCAGTATCAGAGGCAGCAAGGGGAGGAAAGCAGGAGCCAGTGCTGGGGTCTCTGCAGCGTAGGGGGGTGGGGCAAGAGAGGCAGAGCCGCAGCGATCCTGGAGCTGGTGCAAATCCCGGCTCGCGCCAACCCTAGGAGCTAACCCGCTGTGGCTATGCACTTTAAATGTAGTAAGAGCCTGGTGGATCTTACTATATTTAAAATGCAGAGTCACAGTGGCAGTAGCGAGTGCCTCCCCTTATCGACTAATTGAATAGTCGATGGAAATTGCATTGACTACTTGATTAGCTAATTAACATCCCTAACTGCAACCCCTTCTAAAATAACGTTGTGATCCCCTCTGAAGCTCTATTTTGGGTCGGGATCCTGAATTTAAGAAACACTTGTTTTCCTGTAAAATCAATATAGTGCAGGGTGCAAAAGCACACTAAAGACCAGATTTCTCAGAGACCAGATTTTGTGGTCCATAATATGATTTTCATGGCTGTAAGTTTGGTAGGGGCCTTCTCATATAAAAGTTGATTTTACAAAGAAATCATGTCTAGAACATCAATTACTTTGTATTTTATTTTCCATTGCTTCATTTTAGAAGAGATTGCTTGAATTCTTCTTTTACTAGGTTGCCAGCAGGAAAACAAGAAGACTGTTGGATAAAAGTAAAACTTTCCATGTAACATGTGGTGTTACTATATGTGTCTTTTCAGGTAAGATTTTATTGTGCTGAGCACTAGCTCATGTGGGAAGCATATTAAACAATACAAGTCACTTGTGGCTTTTCTTGAACAATATAGGGTATTTTTTCTCTGTTTTATGTGTAGACATCTAAGTGTTTTCTCAGACATTTTGAAGCCTGGTATCTAAATCTGGGTGGAAAGATTTTTCTTAAAAGTTATAGGCTCTGAAGCATCAGTAGTTTTTCATGTATAAAATTAAATTAAAAGCTGCCTCCTAACTGATTACAGACCACATGTAATCAATTTATGGAGGTTAGAGATTAAAAGACCCTTTGTGAACATGTGGACAATATAAATAAGTATCATATAATATTTCCACTTCCAGTAAAGTACTAACTTAGTTTTGACAAAGTCCTTTGATTCAGTCTCCCAATCAGAGAATTATAATGAGAAAATAAATCATAGAACTTCAAAGATTCAAAGCAAGTAGCATTTTCATATCAGCCTAACTTACTTAGTGCAAAAATAGCATATGGTTGCTTAGGACTGATTTTGTTTCCCCTAAAGTGAATGGGTGTTTTCCAGTCAACTTCAGCCAGAGCTGGATCAGATCCATAAAGAAAGTTTTTATATAAAATCTGCAGGTCAGTAAATTTAATGTTTCAAATGTGCAAAGGAAAGTGCTAAAACAGGTAGTTTATATATAAAGGCTAAGAGTAGGACAGACTAAATTATGATGGAATCAGCCTAGTAAATAATGTGGGACCCTGATCTACAAACTAACATATGTAAAAACAGGGATCCACCTAAACTTACGAGTGATCAGGATTAGGGGCTTCACATAACCTTCAAAATGCAGTGTAATGAATTGGGTTTTGTTCTGGTTGATAGGCTTACATGTTGCCGCACACCTGGTGAATGTCCTGAACTTCTCTATGAACTATACTGAAGAATTTTTGGCTCTGAATGCAGCAAGCTACCGTGGTGAGGTGGGCGATATGTTCTTTTATACTTTCCTTGAAATAGATATAACTGGTGTGATGCCTTTACATAGTTTTCCATGAGTGATATGTATAGTCATGCTTGTCTTATATACTGTGAAAATGCAGTATCATGTTGGTATTTTTTCTTTCTTTCGATGGCTAGGTCACCTGACTATGCCACTAACTTTCTGAGCACATTACTTCACTTATTTGTGTTGTAATAAAAGAAAAAGAAAAAAAAATGTAAGAAGGGAGGGAAAGGAAAGAAAGGAAAGGGAGAAGGGAAGCAGAAGAGAGAAACAGTTTGGTTTCTACCTGCCTGGAACTGAAGATTTCTAAAAGATCAGACCTTATCTTTTCCAATTTGCCTTGAGGTCTCTCTTCTCCAAAATATTACCTGCTCTTCAGCTGTCAGGAGAGCCAAGTTGCTGAACCAGTCTTCTGTCCTTCAAGGCAGGCTACTCTTCTGTGTATGTAACATGAATTGTTTGGACATGAGTTATTTGGCTACTCTAGAGAAGTAAGCTTTCCATGGAGGTGGAGAGTTTCCAGTATGATGGAATAATTATTAAGCAGATATCAGTTATCATGTTAATTCTCCTACTTATGTCTAACCAAAAGGATTGATAGCCCCCAAAGGGGGAGCCGATGTGGCTTTGGGAGACCCACATCTCCAACAGCAGTTTTCGCCACTGCCTTGCTGTGTTACCTTTGGCAAGTCACTTCTCTGTTCTATGGCTTGCATTCTCCACGCTTACTGCTATTGGGTATGCCTTGCTGAACCCTTTATGCTGCTATCATTGGCCCTGTCATCAAACCGTATACAATGGGACAGGCAGGAGAAGGGATGCTGCATTTGCAGCATTACACAGACAGTGTAATATGACAAATAGATTGAAAGATGAGAAGATTTGGGCCAGTCTTGCTCTCATTGAAATCAATGGCAAAACTTTTATTAGTTTGAGTTGGAACTGCATCTGATACTTTTATTGTGGCTTTAGTTGTCTGCCTGAATTAGACTGGAAGCTACCTCATGCTTGCAAAATGCTGTACTCACCTCACTTTTCTACCTCTGAGGTATTCCCTCAAGTCCTATTGGAGTGTAGGGTGCAGGTTCATTTTGGGGAAACACTCTGGCCTTTGAAAGTCTTACAAATCTTCTCCTGCCTCTGCAGTGCCTACAGGACTCATGTTCCTGGAGGCTTCCTCACTCCTCTATTTATTGCTCCCTAAACTCTTCTTTGGGTGGTAGGCTCTGCCCAAAGTGGTGGGGGAATAGGAATTATTTAGTGCTTATGAGGTCAGCATTAATTTCTGCTCACAGAACCCTTGTGAAATAGAGAATGATTCCATGAAGGATGGCTGTCCCCTTTGCCACATACTAGCTTCTTCCTATAGCCTCTCACCCATGCTCCTCTCACCCATGTCCCACATGGACCTGGTTTTCACTGCAAAAAAAGGTTTGCTTTTAACTTGGGTTAATTAACCTGAGGCAAAACCCTGGTAGCAGCAAGGGAGTTAGAAGTTTTCACATGAGTTGGCAGTTGAGATAAAGCTTATGGTGGCGAGCCTAGTCTTTAACTCAACCTGCTGATTAATGCAAAAACTTATAACTGCCTTGCCTCCACTAGGATTTTATCTTGAGTTCGTTAACTCGAGTTAAGAACACACTTTTTTCCCCAGGTGAAGACAGAGGCATAGAACGGATTCCACAGGATCAAAGGGATTGTGGAAGCATGCGGTAGAGTTGGCACTTCACCCTTTACCCTCCACTGAGCTCTGCTGCTTTCCTCCCCGATCTCCCACAAGGAAGTGAGAGAAGCATTTGGCCTGATATTGTGAACTTCTCGTGGCAGCCATGTTAAGCTCAAGTCCTATTGGAATGTGGAGTGAGGCCTCTGATAGAACTCCACTTGACTTCACTGAGAGACACATGGGTGACTCTTCTCTTTATATTCAGCTTTAAAATCTTATCCCTCTAAAACTGTCCAAGAGCTAGAGAAAGTTGTTTTGTAAAATGTTTATCTAGGAAAGCGAAGAAGCATCTGATTGACCCATTACTCTGCTTTCTTATTCAGTGTGTAGTTGGTTTTAGCCAGGTTGGCAAAAGGTTCAGTTGACATTTTCCTTGTTACCTATTACCAGTTACATAGTCCATTTTCACAGCCAGGTTCAGGGATCAGCTGTCACCGTTTCTTCTTATAATGTTAGAGATTTAGAATATCAACCGATGTTTGTTTTGTGTCTGTTTTTCAGGACCCCAGGAAACTCCTTTTTACTACTGGTAAGTTGGTGATGTTCTGTGCAGATGTGATAAGTGGTTCAGATTTCATATGGCTATAAACTGAGAGATAAATGTTTTTGTTTCCGTCCTCAGATACGCAGACATAACTCCCACTGGTCAGTAGGATTTACCTCCATGTCTCTAGCAGAAAAGTTGGAATCACAGTGTTCCTAAGTGTTCTTATAACTCTTTTTCTATATTCACAGAGTATCGTATGAATGATAGTAGGGACCTGCCCTGCTCCTATTCCAGTCAAAAGCAAAACTTCCATTGGCTTCAGTGAGAGAAGGATGAGGCCTTTAGTTTTTGGAGAAGGAAAAAAAAAAGATGGACCTTCTAGGGCAGTTTTTTCAATACTTGGTCCGTAGAACTCTGTAGGCCTGCAGACTAAAGGGGTCTACAAAAGATTGTCATCAGTATCAGAGGGGTAGCCGTGTTAGTCTGAATCTGCATAAACAATGAGAAGTCCTGTGGCACCTTAGAGACTAGCAGATGTATTGGAGCATAAGCTTTCATGGGCAAAGACCCACTTCGTCAGATGCATGTCAAAATATTGTCGCTATCCAAACACACTGGTTTTTAATTTGTAGTTCATGAATCTCTGGAGGTCCACGGATTAGGTCTAAGATTTCTAAAGGAGTCTGCACCTCCATTTGAAAATTTTAGGGTCTGCAAATGAAAAAAGGTTGAGACCACTGCTCTAGAGCCTCATCTCACAGAGTAGCTTTGATGGAGACTTGTCAACTGTTGTGACTGGATGCAGATGCAGACAGAATAATTGTGGATGTCAGATCCAGTCTGTTGCACCAAGTTAATACAGGTCACTCAGTACTCTCTCCTGATATTTAGAAGAGGAGCAAAGGATGCAAATTCAAGGACTAAGTTATAGCCTGAGCCAGACTTGAGCGGTTTTTTGTTTTTACAGGACAACTGACCAACTTCTTTTGTTTTATCCATCCTTTACGGACAGCTCAGTCCTGCAAGGCTTAACACTTTCAAGGTATTGAGAAACCTCAACTTCCCTTCCTGACTTCCATGAGTATGCAAGGGTGTTCAGTCCTTCAGGGGTGAGATTAACCCTAACTGAAGAGAACGTTCTGTCTCACAGAGTGTTAGATATTAACCCCCCTTCCCCAACTCAAGATTGTGGCAGAGAGAATCACACTGCTTTAAAAAAGAAAACTGAATTAGTGAGGCTGTATAATACTCGATTAGCATATTTAGAAAACAGGCATTAAATATAATTGCTTGATAATGTGTTGCACTATTATCTGCAAATCAAATTATAACCCCCATAATTGTTTGACATTTTTCATCATCATGCTCCAGAAAAATATTTATTTTCTCTGTCCAGTATTACACAAATCTACCATTTGTTACACCAAGCACGTGAAGAGATTAACCTGGGTCTGCTTATTCAATACTCAGGAAAGAAGAGTTATAGAAACCCATGGAATGGTATGAGTAATGTTTTCAGTGCTGTTGTTCTGCAGATGAGTCATTGGAACATAGTTATTCTCAGACAGTGATTCTGCATAATATGAAAACCAAATTTCTAGGAAAAAAAAGAAATGTAGCCCGAAAGCAGACAGGTTGTCTCAGCTTGTTTCTGTAAGGATCAGTTCAGCTTTAGAATGATTAAACTGCAACATGAGAGCAAGCAACTATAATCGTAAAAATAAATGAGCAAAGAGGTTTGAACTGCATGCACACGACAGGGAGCAATGTACTCGCATTATGAAATGGATTCTCTGGGCCTGATGCTGGTATGCCTCACTCAAACACAACTCCCATTGGCACCTCTGGATCTGATTCTTCACTGCCTTTCACCTTGTGCAGCTACCCCTGTTCAGAACAAAGACAGAAAGCTGCTATTCTTCTTCGAGTGATTGCTCATGTGCATTCCAATATAGGTGTGTGCGTACAGCGTGCATGCGCCATCAAAAGATTTTCCCTCAGCAGTACCCTTAGGGCCAGCAGGGACGCCTCCTGAAGTGGCACCGGTATATTGGCCCATATATACCCCTGCTGGCCCCCTCACCCACTCAGTTCCTTCTTACTGCTGTGACGGTCGTGAAAACAACCCTCAGCTTGTCAGCAAGATTATTCTCTTCATTCTTCTTCTTCTTCTTTAGCCAATCTTCAGTAAAGTACCTATGAATAGAGAATAGTGATAGAAATGTAGTTGTGTTAGTCTGGTGTAGCTGAAACAAAATACAGGACTATGTGGCACTTTAAAGACTTAACAAGATGGTTTATTAGATGATGAGCTTTCGTGGGCCAGACCCACTTCCTCAGATCAAATAGTGGAAGAAAATAGGCACAACCATATATACCAAAGGATACAATTAAAAAAAAGAACACATATGAAAAGGACAAATCAAATTTCACAACAGAAGGGGGATGCGGGGGGGAGGGGGTGGGTAAATGTCTGTGAGCTAATGGTATTAGAGGTGATAATTGGGGAAGCTGTCTTTGTAATGGGTAAGATAACTGGGGTCTTTGTTGAGACCCACGGGTAGAGTGTCGAATTTTAGCATGAATGACAGTTCAGAGGATTCCCTTTCAAGTGCAGATTTAAAAGGCTTCTGAAGTAGGATGCAGGTAATTAAGTCGTTGAGACAGTGTCCTTTCTGGTTGAAATGACAAGAAACTGTTTTTTCTTTGTGATCCTGACTAATATCTGTTTTGTGGGCATTGATCCTTTGGCGAAGTGTCTGAGACATTTGTCCAATGTGCCAAAAGTGTCCGTCTGCTTTGTATCACCTCTAATACCATTAGAAACCGCTCCCAATCACCGGTACCGCAAAAGAAGAGGCAGCCTAATGGGTCAGTCCCCGCCTAGGCACGCACCCTCCGTGCGCCCTACAGTAGGGCACATGGAGCCAGCTAGCTCTAAGCCTGCACCTTTTAGGTCAGGCAAATACTCTTCCCAGCGCAGGGATGTCAGCCCCTCAGAAAAGTTCCCGACCCCCTCCACACTGGAGGCCTTGGAGGCGGTGAGGTCCTCATCGAGTCATACCGCCCACCCCGGCACCTTCCAGGTGGCACAGAGATGTGCGGCACCGCTCCCCCCCAGGGTGCCAAACAATGGCGCCCAAACCCTACGGCACCGCACATGGACCGGCCACCGAGACAATGCTACCGGCACTGGATGCGGCTCCGGACCCGGTGCAGCATCATCGCTTGGCACCACCACCGGCTCGCGGGGTCCCAGCACCTACCTCCGTGTGGGACTCCAACACAGCCATGCCTCTCCAACACAGCTATGCCTCCTCCACCACCACCAGGACAAGCCAGAGTCCTTGTCCCGGTACACCGTAGCCCCGTCGGCGTCCGCGTCAGCACCGCTGTGGTCCTGACAGAGAATTTTAGTCTAAGGGTTCGGATGGGGATCCAAGCCCATCCCAATTAATTCCAGACACCCTTCTTAAGCAGCCAGCTTTATTCAGGAATGCATTCCAGGATAAAAATCTCCAGGATACTCTCAGGAAAAGTTTCGTAACTTCTCAAACAAAAGGCAATGTCTTTTGCACTCTCTTAGGGTATGTCTACACTATCACCCTAGTTCGAACTAGGGTGGTAATGTAGGCAACCGGAGTTGCAAATGAAGCCCGGGATTTGAATTTCCCGGGCTTCATTTGCATATTGCCGGGCGCCGCCATTTTTAAATGTTCGCTAGTGCAGACTCCGTGCCGTGCGGCTACATGCAGCACGGAGTCCGCACTAGCAGACATTTAAAAATGGCGGCGCCCGGCAATATGCAAATGTAGCCCGGGAAATTCAAATCCCGAGCTTCATTTGCAACACCGGTTGCCTACATTACCACCCTAGTTCGAACTAGGGTGGTAGTGTAGACATACCGTTACATAGTAATCACCCCTTTCCCACTGACCACGTACAGTTGCATGCATACGCAGGTCATGGCCCTTGCACCAAATACCCTCCAATCATTACCTACCCCTTAACATGACCTTTTCAGGCCTTACAACAGGTTCAAACTGGTAAAACAGGTTTATACCAGTTTCACCTATCCCCTCCTGGTTGTATACCTGTGTCTGAGCACGTACCTTTTTACAAATACCAGGCTTAACATCCAGGTCACACAGAGGTCATACTGACAACAAATTAATTTTATCCTTCAGTTCGCCTCGGAGTACTCGTCCGACTCCTAGGTGGAATCTCCTAGGTGGTCCTCAAGGGGCTCCAGCCCTCGTTCCCGGCACCGCTCCTGGCAATGCTCCCAGCACCATACTCCTCTGTAACTGTACCAGCAACAGTGGGATCAGCTGGTCCCGGTACACTGACCACGTACAGTTGCATGCATACGCAGGTCATGGCCCTTGCACCAAATACCCTCCAATCATTACCTACCCCTTAACATGACCTTTTCAGGCCTTACAACAGGTTCAAACTGGTAAAACAGGTTTATACCAGTTTCACCTATCCCCTCCTGGTTGTATACCTGTGTCTGAGCACGTACCTTTTTACAAATACCAGGCTTAACATCCAGGTCACACAGAGGTCATACTGACAACAAATTAATTTTATCCTTCAGTTCGCCTCGGAGTACTCGTCCGACTCCTAGGTGGAATCTCCTAGGTGGTCCTCAAGGGGCTCCAGCCCTCGTTCCCGGCACCGCTCCTGGCAATGCTCCCAGCACCATACTCCTCTGTAACTGTACCAGCAACAGTGGGATCAGCTGGTCCCGGTACCCATTGTACAGCAAACGTGGCCCCCTCAACCACCGGGACAGTGGCCCTTCTGGACTCCCTGTGCTTACCACCAAAACCAGGGCACGAACCCCCCTAGACGAGCTTCAGTCTCTTCAGGCCCGTGAGTTCCTCCGTCGGCGATGCCTCTGGTTCAGTCCCCTATGTCGGGACACTCATTGTCTCCAGGCCAGTCATCTCTAGGATCAGGGGGGAATGCGGCTCTGGTGAGCCAGCCTCCCCGCTCTTCGTCCATGGCCACTTTGGACGATCCAGAATGCATGGATG